TGGAGAGTATGGCCTCCTTCCTTGCTTTCGTGAGCCATCTCTGTCCTCCCTCTAGGGTGTAACCCAAGTAAATGACTTTGCTTTGACAAATCTGGGCCTTCTTGGCCGAAGCCCGATAGCCCTTCTGTCCCAGTTTAGCCAAAAGGGCCCGAGTGCCTCTCAGACATTCAGCCTGGGTTCTGGCTGCTAGGAGGAGGTCATCCACATATTGGAGCAAGATTAAGGCCGGATGTTCGACCCGGAACTCGGCCAGGTCTGAGTGTAAGGCTTCATCAAAGAGGGTCGGGTTATTTTTAAACCCCTGGGGGAGCCGAGTCCAGGTCAACTGTCCTGAAAGTCCCATCTCTGGGTCTCTCCATTCAAAAGCAAACAGCAGTTGGCTCTGGGGGTGCAATCTCAAACAGAAGAAGGCATCCTTCAAGTCCAGTATCATATACCAAATGTGGGTTGGTGGAAGAGTGCTGAGGAGGTTGTAAGGGTTTGACACCGTGGGGTGTATATCTTCAACTCGTTTATTAACCTCCCTCAGGTCTTGAACCGGTCTGTAATCCCCTGTCCCAGGTTTTTTTTACAGGCAGGAGGTGGGTATTCCAAGGGGATCGACAGGTCACAAGTACCCCCTGGTCCAAGAGCCTCCGGATGTGTGGTTTAATGCCCTCATGGGCTTCCCGGGACATAGGATACTGTTTGATTGAAATGGGAGTGGCAGAGGCTTTTAACTGAATAACAAGTGGGGGTTGGTCGCGAGCCAGCCCCAAGCCGCCAGTCTCTGCCCATGCCGAGGGAAATTCCCTCAACCAGTCCTGCATCCCTTGTGGTGGCCCCTTAGAGGGCTTGGATTCAAACAGGCGGTATTCCTCTTCCAGTTTTAGGGTTAGGACTTGTAGGGGGGTCCCTTTGGGTCCTGTAACGGTCGACCCCTTGTCATCAAAATAGATCTGAGCCTTGAGCTTAGTCAACAGGTCTCGGCCCAATAATGGGTGAGGGCAATCGGGTATATGCAAAAAGGAGTGGGTTACCTGTCCAGATGCCAGCTGAACCTTTCTCTCGGTGGTCCATCGATACCTCCTGCTACCTGTGGCCCCCTGGACCAAAGCTGTGCAGTCACTGAGAGAGCCTCCGGTATGGGTCAGGACTGAATGTTGAGCCCCGGTGTCCACCAGGAAGGTCACTGGCTGCCCCCCAATCTTGAAAGTTATCCTAGGCTCAGGGGAGGGGGCTCCTGGCCTTGACCTCCCTAATCCTCCAGATTGAGGAGGTCCGTGGCCCTTGGCTTAGGTCTCCGAGACCCTCGAGGCTTCTTTGGGCAGTCACGAGCCCAATGTCCTCTCTCTTTACAGTAAGCACACTGGTCTTTGTCAAGTGGTGTCCTTCTTTGATCTCCCGTCCTAACTCCCTCTCTGACCTGTCCCTGAGACACTACAGTGGCCAGGACTTTACTTATTTCCCTATGACATTTCTTATCTCTCTCTTCTTGCCTCTGCCACATCCTCTCCTCCTGCTCTTCGGGAGTTTCTCTCTTATTAAACACTTTCTCTGCCTCTCTCAATAAATCTGACAAACTGAATGAATGCAATCCTTCTAGTCTCTATAACTTGGCCCTTATATCTGGACTTGACTGATAGATGAAAGACAAGATGACACCCGGCGCCTGTCCTGGATCTTCCGGATCGTACGGGGTATACATCCTATAAGCTTCTCTAAGTCTTTCCAAGAACGCTGCCGGCGTCTCCTCCTTTCCCTGGATCACATTCCTAACCTGAGCCAAATTGGTAGGGCGCCTAGCAGCCCCTCGGAGACCCGCTAAGAGCAACTGGCGATAGAGACGTAGGTGCTCCCTACCTTCTGGGGTCGCGAAGTCCCAGTTTGGGCGGGTGAGGGGAAAGGCTGCGTCAATGATATTAGGCAATTGGGTGGGTCTTCCATCGTCTCCTGGAACCTGCTTCAGAGCCTCCAGGAAGACTCGCTGCTTCTCCTCCACCGTCAGGAGGGTCTACAGTAACTGCTGACAATCTTCCCATGTGGGCTGGTGGGTCACTAAAATGGACTCAATCAGGTTAGTCAAGGCAACAGGGTCCTTAGAGAAAGGAGGATTATGTTGTTTCCAGTTATAAAGATCAGATGCCGAAAACGGCCAGTATTGGAGCTGGTGGTTAGGACCCTCCCTAAGGGGGAAGGCCCTGGATTCTTTGGCTGGTTCGTCGCGCCTTCCTCGTAGGCAACCGGCAATTGGGGAGGGAGCCGGAGCCTCATCCTCCCGCTCTCTCTGTGGAGGCTGTTCGGGGGCTGCTGCGGTGACCGCCGGTCCCTCCGGCGCCCGATTCCCCGGGTATGGCGGTGGATCCTCTGTCAGGAGGTCAATAAGAGGTGAATTGGGGTCTGGGGGAAGGACAGGGACCTTAGGGGGATCCTTTCGTGGGAGAACAGGGTAAAGGGAGGAGGTAGGAGGGGCGGGAGGGAGCGGTGGTGCTGTGGAGGAG